AACTTTAAAATAATACAGAATGGGAGGAAAATGCAATCACAATATTAATCACAGTTACTGAGAACATAAGAACTTCTAATCCTACCTAATTCTCAGATAAACCAGAAATTCTATATACGATACTACATCTTGATGGCCTTTTTTGGCTTCAGAAGTTATCTGTGCTTAAGGACAGAGAAGTCAATTTATTCATCACAAATTAATAAAATCACATTCTCAAACTCTGATCTTTAAACTGTTTTTTAAAGAGGACACAAGTGCCTCTTTAAATTTAAACTAAATGTAAAACTCAGTTCCTCAGTTGCACTAGCCATATTTCAAGTGCCCAAGAGCCAAATGTGAATACTGGATACTGCCATACTGGACGGTGCAGATATAAAGTGCTTCCATCAGCAAACTGTTCAACGGTCTGAGATGCTTTTGACACTGTCTTTTTGAAGTAATCACAGCACTTTCATTCATTCAAGTATTTGCTAAGCTATTATGTGATGCTAGGTGCAGACACAGGACAGCAAAGGAAACTAATAATTCATGAAAGAGATAATTAGAAACCTTAAAAATAGGTACAGGGACCTTAGTTTTAGATAAAGAAATATGACTGGTGGTGCTTGTCTGGGGAAGCAATGTTTAAAACAAAATTAAAAAGATAAGTCATTCAAAGACAGAAGCAGAGCTTCCAGCTGCAGGGGACTGAAGTACCAATACACTCAGGTGGGAGGAGCTGAGCATGTACTGGGAACTGACTTTAGGACATATTTTAGCTGTCTCATTAAACTTGAAACATCAAGCAAAGTATTTAACTGATGCCCAAATCTATTCCAATTGGAAAGATGGACAACAGTCCACATATTGATCAATGCAGTTCCCTTCTTCCTCTAAATCACCTACCTTTTGTGCCATTTCATTTCTTGAAGAACCAATATCGGAGTACGCAGGTACAGCAAGAGCTATTTATTTTGTTACTTCTTAGCAGAGAAAAGAAATGTTTAAATGAGTTTTTGATTACTGTGAATTTTAACCAGCTATATTCTTCCATGCTGCTATTAACAAGGTTGGTAAGTAAGATATTTTCATCACAGGTTGAGCTGTTTCCATTTGAAGGCATTGTCATTATTTACTCCAAAGGTGAACAACCTACACAGACTTCAAGCACAAATTCCAAATGCTGGGATTGGCACCAAACTGGGTGGATGATCCCTTCCCAGGAAATGTGGTTGGCTGCTATGCAGATGACCCCACACATTGTCACAGCCCACAGACAGCTGGGTAGGGGACTGAAGACACCTCAAGCCTTCAAGGGGGATAAACAGGACACTCCAGACAGTGAAACCCCTCAGTTCTTCTACAACCCAGGCACTTCGCATGCCTCTACCCAGCATTATGGCTAAGTTTACATGGCAGGCTCTGCACCTGGGGTGCCCAGACTGTGGGCTAAAACATTACTCTGGGTATGATTATGAAGGTGTTCTTGATAAGGTTAGCATTTCAATTAGTGTGCTGTTCTGAGTAAGGCAGATAGCCCTTCCCAATGTGGTGCTCCTCACCTAATTCATGGAGGGCCTAATAGAAATAAGGACAGAACTCACTCTGCTTGTTGTCTTGGAGCCGGGACATTGGCCTTCTCCTGCCTTTGGACTCGCACTAGAACTTACACTGTTAGTTTTCCTGCTTCTTAGGCCTTTACCCCTGCACTGGAACTTATGCTATCAACTCTCCTCTTTCTCCAGCTCTACATTTGACATGTCTAATTCTATTTCATTATACAAAGAAACATAGCAGACAACAAACCCAACAACTCACTCAACTCTTTTTACACATACTTGTCATTCTATTGTCTTTTAATATTTTTTTCATTGCCTTTTCAACTATTTTTCTATTAATACGTCCCTGTGTTCGTTATAGGTCATCAATCTCAGTTCAGTTTCCTTTCCACGACCTGTACAACACATCTTCAGGACACATTCTCAGACCTCTGAATAGAGCTCAGGTAGCAGGCCACAAAGGTGCGCTTAAGCAATTTCTCCTCATCTATATACAAGACTTCTTGAGGAGGACTGGAAGACACCATCTATCTTTCTGTCCTTAGAGGGAGCCAAACTCTGCAGGCACTTCCCCTGCCACTGCGTTCTTTCAGAGAGCAAATCAGAACTTCTTTTGCTGGAAAGGGCTGAAGTGTTTGGTATTTGGAAAAAATGCTGCATCTCTTACTGAATTAACTGTGTCAAATGTGAAAATTATGCTGTTTATGTCAGGTAAGTTTTGTTTTTTTGGCCTTAATGAAGAAAAGACCAATGACAGCTAAAACGGAAAAACCCACTGAAGTTAAACAATTATAGAAGACAATGTTAAGTAATGTACTTTACATCCTCACAGTAGATCATCCATTGGGTAGAGACATTCTCAAACATATTTCAGTAAGTAAAATTAAGCTTCTTGCAAATAAAATGTCATTCTGGGTAAAATAGCAGACTGCACACTTAGGGCAACAATACTAAGCCCTCCCTACCCACACCTTAAACTTATTTCAGAAAATCAGAGTAATAAGTTCTTAATCTCTACAATGTCTCTAGAGATAAAGAACGAACAGATCATTTCAGTTCCATTTTAGATTGCAGAAAGTAAAGCAGGAGAAGTTAATCTAGTCGCAGATGAGACAAACTGGGTGGAACCCAGGCTGAACCCTGATCTTTCAGGAATGTGTGCAGTCCTTCCACATCTCAGCTTCAGATTGTAATAACTAAAAATTTCAATGGAAAAACAGTTGACTACTTTGAGGTCAGGATTTGGTTTAACTATATATAAGTAAAGCATAATTTTAAAGAAAAAATATTTTTAAAGATTAGAACCACACAGCAAACAGCAAGATATAAGATACCAACTCTTAAGAACACCTTCTGTTCAACACTTTCCTCATTTATTAAGCTGAGATATCCAAAATAAATTGAGCATAATAATAGTCTTTAAAATGAGAGGTGTGAAAATTGAAAAGATGGTATTAGCTTCTTTTTGGAAAATAAATTAAACAATGCTGAGCAAGTAAAAAAGCCAATGTTCTTCCATGCTACGAATGAATTACAATAAAGATTCAATAAAAAACAAATTCCAAAAATATCTTTCAAATCTTAACTATATTCACTCTAAATCTGCTATTTGTGATAATATGCTATTACATACATAATATGCTATTACACATTTTAGGTTCAGTATTTTCAGTGTCCTTATACCCTACAGAGATTGAGAAAATCATCTCTTTCAGAACAAATGTATAGAGCATTTGGAAGCTGGCGTTCGTTAACTTTGTCAACTTTCACTTTTCTATTTTTGTTTCTGAATATGTACCCCCCACATAAATAGGTTTATGTTACTGCAAGTTTTAAAAAAATATCTACAACTACCCATTTGGAACTGGTATCTATTTTCTTTCCTCAGAAAGGTAACAAATATACAGCCATTCAAAAACCTCTTCAGTAAGTTCAGTTTGTTTTAAAAGCAAAAAAAGCATTTTGTAATTGCCTGAGCTGCCACTCTATTTAATGTTTTGGTTAAAAGTTTTTTAAAAAGCCAAATACCTTCACATAACAAGCACCAATTAATCTGAAAAAAAAGGCAACTGCCTGTCTACAAAGGCAAAAGCACTGAGTAACACTAAACTGCACTTCACATTTGTGACTTTATCCTGCATCTCTTCAATCATACTTGATCCAGGAATGACAGACAAGGGAAGCTAGTTAGTTATACGGCAGCATGTAGTTGGATGAAGCTTACACACCGCAAGAGGAAAAATTACTTCTCCTTATGGGCCGTGTTCTGAAGTTGGCTAGGGAGGATACCAGGCCTGCCTTGAGGAGGCACAAGTGAATTTATCTCAAGGTGTCACAGTCACAGGTACAGGTCTCCGTGCTGCCTGATTTACAGAGATGGAAAAATAAGAGGCCTACAGAAGCCATGCTGGGTCGTATGCAGCCTGTGGCATGTCGGGGCAGTCACCATCTCCTCCTTCTGAATATCCTACTGCCTGCACGGGCCTTCTTGGCCTGCTACGCACCACACAGCATCAGCCTACTTTGGATTTTCATGTTGGATTATTTACTGAACTAAAAAGCAGGCTACATTCTGGAACATTCTTCCTTGTCTCACAGTGGAGTCACAGTCCAATAAAGCCATCAAAGGTTGAAAATATGATAATCTGAGAATGTATCTAACTTCACAAAACATCACAGCTAATTGGCCAATATGAGTAATTATATAAGCCCACGATGAGTCTACTGTGTACCAGAACCAAGAAGCACTGCTGTAAACTGGCAGCTCACAAATGCTCAGCACTGATAAGGCCCAGGAGCACTGAAACCGGTTCTCAAACCATCCAGGGTTGCTCACTTCAGCCCTGAATTTCATAAATTACCCAGAATTTGTTTTTCTGCATTATTTTCCCCCAAGATATCTATTTCTGTAATTTGAACTGCAAATAGTATGCAAGTATAACTGAGGAGGCTATACACACCATTAGATAATCATTTTTTAGATTATCTAGATCTCCCAAAATCACTTTTATTACAAATATTGCTTCACCTGAAAATTTCTTTTTGAATTAATCACTGAAACAAGTCAAAATACTACTTCACATAAATAAAAATACTGTGCAGAAAAGTGAGAGGCAAGAAGGTACACGTATTTTCAAAATGCTCCTGAAATTGTTTTCATATCTTCTAGAGCAAGATTTGCTGACAACTAGCTCAAAGCCAAGTGAAGATATAAGTTCCGACTGTTATATATGCAACGTAAGATTTGCTTTATAGATCTGCTGTTAGACTCTGAAAGAGGCACATCCATTATGAGAAGACTGGTTAAATGGAGTAAGAAAATCTTGGTGTGATGTTAACTGTCACATACTTCAAATATATAGACAGAAAAGACTCTAAGAATTGCTTCAGGAAGGGAAACATCAGGTGAAGGACTTCCTCTACCTTTTGGAGTAGCTTCTCTCACGCCAAAGGCCTTACCAAGCAACCATTGAGGACAGTTAGCCACACGTCTGAGTTGTTCCTGGAGCACTTTGATGAGATGGAGGTGACAACTGTTGCTCCTCGTGGTACTGAATTCATGGATTTGTCTCCAGCCATGGCATTGATGACAATGGTAAACACATAGCTGCACAGGGACAATGAACACAGATGGGAGCTTTACGTTATCTTACAACTTGTCTTCCTTGAGGCTGCTGGCAGTGGTCCTGCAGCCTGCAGACATGCAGAAGCCCCTGAAGCTTTTAGAAGATATTATTGCTGGGCTCTGTCCCAGAATGTCTTCATAAAGATTTGGGATGAATCTGAACTTCAGAACAAAGGAAAAAGCTTAAGAGCCTCAGTCATCTTACTTCTAGAGAAGAAAGGAATTCTTAGCTGAGAGACAAGGAAGGAATCCAAATCCTAGAAGAAACGTATCTTTAATAATCTGTTTTCCTATCACTCAGACAAAATACCTCATTCCTACAATTTAAAGAGGAAAGGGTCTATGTTGGCTCCTGTTTTCAGTGAGTTCCATCCACGATTCGCTGGCTCCAAGGCAGAAACACAGTGGTGGAAGGCATGTCAGAGAAGGCTACTCAACTCATGGTGACCAGGAAGGAAAGAGAGAAAGAAGAGCTGGGACAAATGTATACCCTTCCAGGTCACATCCCCAGTGACTCACCTGTATGTATTAGGTTTTGCCACCTAACAGCACGTTCAGCTAGGAACTCATCCTGGATTAATCCATTGACAATGCAGTGCCCCCATGATCCAATCACCTTCCAAAATCTCCACTTGTGAACACCTTATGCTTTGGGGAGACATTTATGTCTTAACCATAACGGGGGACATACAGACTTAGGGTCCTGGAGCCTTGGGGAATGCTGAAGAAGTCTCACTTTATTTCCCCTGCCCTACCGACATTTTGATTTCTAGTCTCCTCTTCACGCAACTCACAAGCGGGGCACTGGTGGCACAGGGCTATAATTCCAGCTACTGAGATGGCTGAGACAGGAGAATCACAAGTGCCTGGGCAACTTACAAAGACCTTGGATCAAAAAAAGAGGCTGGGATTGAAGCTTGGTGGAAGTACCTCAGGGTTCAATCCCCAGTACCACACAAAAGTGCAAAAGAGAGAAGGGAGAGGGAGAAGGAGAGGGAGAGGCAGAGAGACAGAGAGACAGAAAATGAAATGGAGGGGAGGAGAAGGGGAAGTGGGACAAGACAGAGAAGGAGGGAGGAGAAGGGAAAAGAACAGCAGTGTTGGGGAGAAGCAACATGAAAACAACATACAAGAGATGAAAAAGAAATTATAGGAGGGCAGGGAATATAGCTCAGAGGCACTGTGCTTGCCTAGCATACTCAAGGCTCTGAGTTCCATCCCAAGCAAAACACAAAGATTACAGCACAACAGGAGAGGTTTTGCAAAACATCCTGAGTTTGTATAACTCAAGAAATAAAAGAGAAAAATAAAACTACTATAAAAACCCAGGCATGAGCATAGAGAACAGTCCTGAGAAAAGTTACAAGAGATGAAAAAGTACAAAACAAGCAAAAGTAACCCAAAAACAGGTGCTTCTTAATATATCAGATACCATATACGTAGCTATAAAATTTACCTTCATATCAGTGGTGTTCTGGAAAAAATAAAAATCAAATAGAAAAATATTCAGACACATCATTGAAGAGACCTCTCTTGAGTTCAAATCCTACTTGCCTTTGGAAATCAAAAGAACAAAATATCCTCCAAGGAAAAATTCACAGATGATGATCACCACTGATTCTGTAATGAAGTTACTGAAACAATCATCTCACAAGCTCTGAAAGGCAGTAGAATTTCTCAAAGTATTGAAATATATTACATATTATTAAGCAGAAAGGGTAAATCGCAAAGAGAGAAAAGCCAGGTTTAAGGAAGGCCACGTTTTCTTTCAGTATAAAAATAACACATCCTCAAACATGCAAAACTCAAGGGGCCAGGGATGTAGCTCAGTGGCACAGTGCCGGCCTGGCAAGCAGGAGGCCCAGAGTTCGATTCCCGGTTTAAAAAAAAAAAAAAAAAAAAAACCTCAAGGACATAATATGGATAAACTCTGCTTTAAAAAACAAAATAAAAGATAGGTTAAAATACCATTCACAAAGAAATAACAGATGAAGGAGGCTATAGAAAAAATCAAATCAATAATAATTTCTCAGGTAAGTACTGAAATGGTTGCCATAAAGAAAGACATGGGTTAGTGACTGTAAAGCAGATATAGATTAATAATTTAAAAAGAGAAGCTTAAGAAAGTGATGGAAACCATGAACACTCAACATAGGAAAGAAATGGAATCCAGAAAACAGATTGAAACAGGTATCCATTGGAAGTGTATGCAGCGGAATGAGTCAATGTAAAGACAGAATATCAGATATAGAATTGTGGTTAGCGATTAAGAAAAGATTTCTTTAAAATAGCAAGGAGCCATGAAAAATCCATCCAACAGCCGCTATGTTAGAACATTAAACTGAAGTTCTTTTTTTTTTTTTTTTTTTGGTTTTTCTCTGGTACCAGGAACCGAACTCACGACCTTGCGCTTGCCAGGCAGGCACTTTGCCGCTGAGCTAAATCCCCAGCCCCTAAACTGAAGTTCTAAATGATGCAAAAAGGAATAAATGTTACATAGCAAAATACACAACTTGAAGGGGAAATGAGTAAAAATCATTTCTGGGAGGCCATGAACAGTCCAAAGATATGAATGAGGAGCAGAGTGGGCAGAGGCAAGTGATTTTACACAGATCCTTGAGAAGATGTGTTCGGGAGCTTCTTCCCACCCTCCAGGGAAGGCTCAGGTGTGGCAACTTCGCTGACTCCTTGCTAGAGGGCTGATGCATGCTCCATGTAGTGGGGTAGACCAGGAATGTGCACCCAGCTGGCACTGGAGATCACTGAAACATGAGGAAGGGCAGACATGAGGAGCAGAGGGCTTCTGGGGAAGGCCCTGCACCCATGACCAGCAGGCATACCCATGTCTGAAGAGGAGGGGAGGACTGACGGGGAGAGCACCTGCTCTAAGCCACTGCCTGTCTCCCCAAGGCAGCTCCTGGGCAAGTGAGAGGACAGCAATAATTTATCTGGCTAGGGTGTAGGCCAGTGGTACACCCTGGCAAATGCAAGGCCCTGAGTTAAATCCCCAGTGCCAAAAAGTGAAAAAAGAAGAAACTCAATGACAGAGGTCAAGATGCATGTGTGAAGCTTACTGAAGAATGGATAAACAGTTAATAAAACGTTCAAAGAACTGCAGAGTACTGGGAACAGAGCAAGTCAGCTGAAACTGGAATAGAAAAATGCTCAAAATTCAGATTTTGGAGGAAGTGAAGTCAGTAAAATATTTGACTATAAATCCCAGACAGGCAAATATTTCTTCACTCTAGAATACTGCTGAGTATTAAATAAGGTGACGCAGAAAGCTACCTAACACCTTGTACATAACACGCAGAGCAGTCCCCTTAATGCAGACGTATGACGAGTGCTGGAACCAAGAAGGTCAGAAGGGTGAGGCAGAGACATCGCTGAGCTAGCAAAATAGAAACACACACATTTCAAAGTCCACCTTACTCAGTTTCAAATACAAGAATTCTGCAGCAGGAAAGAAGTGTAATTTTAAGGGGCAAAGAAGTAAGAAAACCAAGGGACATGAGGAAATCATGAACTATAGCCCTTAGTGGGATATTCCATTGAATCATTGACCCATTAGCAAGTATTTATTGAATCTGATGCAAAGTGTACTCACTTTAATAATTTATTTCAGCACCTATCTGCTTATAAGTTATTCAGCATATGAACGACAATGGATCTACATTAGAGGTAAAATAAACTTTATTGATTGCTTGTATTTACAAAGGGGTGGGAGCCAAAGACGACTTCACCAGGAGATCATGCATAAATTGATGAGGACATGCTTTTACCACATAGGGAAAGGGAATGGCTAGAATAAGTTCTGTAGCCACAGGAGAGAGAGGAAGTATATGGGGTCCAAGGGAAAAATAGCCTGGACTGCTTATGACTTCACCAGGAGTTCCCAGGGTATTTTTCTCTCAGAATAAGTTTTAACTTTGAAAAATTATCCAACCCTCTCCACCAAGTTCAAATGTGTACTTTCAGCATCCACTGTGTAATTCGAAGTTACTGGAAAGCATTAGTGAATCACAGAGGCATTTAATCAGATTTTACCAACACTACACTACCTGAATGTGTTTGGCAAATGGGAGGACATACATGTGCTGGAAATTGCATTTAATCTATAAGCGACACTGGGGACACACAGGGATTCACAACCCGCTATGGCTACGTAGCATGCTGGTTGGCAACCACAGCTGTAACTGATGGAGCTGTCAGGACAATGAACATTCTTTGGAAATTCATACTCCTCCATCTAAACTTGCAGAACCTACACCATAGAAAATTTAAAAAAAAAAAAAACCCACAATAAATCTGAAGTTGAAAAAAAGATCAGGGGAGGGGTTTTAACAAAAATTGAAAAACTAAAGTTCAAGTTTCATCAAGTTATTGATCAAATTATTAATCAAGTACAAAGGTGTACTGTTTGCAAAGTAAATGACCATTCATTACAATCATATGAAGCACCTATATACAAATGGTATTTTTTTAAGCACAGAGCCAAAGAGAATATAGAAAAACTCAACATTTGGACAACCAAGTGCTTGACAACGACTGTGTAACATGAATGTATACCCAGAGGTAAAAATGCATACTCATTCCAGAAAGATGCTACTTATAGAAAATTAGAACTAAATGGATATTATGGACATCCATGAATATTACTATTAAGACTGTTTTTAGCCTTCACATAGCAAGCAAAGATTTTAGCATCAAAAAGTCCTAGATGGGCCGGGGATATAGCTCAGTGGCACAGCGCCTATCTGGCAAACACGAGGTCATGAGTTCAATTCCCAGTTCCAAAAAAGAAAAAGCAGTCCTTGGTTCAATATCAAATCTGCCACATGAACGGAGGCTATTTAAACGCTCTCAGCTTCAGGGCTGAGGAGGGGTTGTTTTTGTTGGATTTTTTTTTTTAAATATGGATAACAATCTACTTTATTCAGTTAGTTTGATATCCAAGTATAAATGTATGTCTGATGTCCTTT